AGGTAGGGTATTCCAGATTTTAGGGCCTTTGACATACATTGAATTTTTGTAAAGGTTTAGTTGGACATGGGGAATGTCGTAGAGATGTTTGTGTCTGGTGTTATGCCTGTGGGTTCTGTCACAACTATCAAGAAAGCGTTTTAGGTCAAGGTTGATATTAGAGTTTAGGGCCCTGTAGATGTAGATTGCACAGTAGTAAATGTGGATGTACTGAACAGGGAGTAAGTTTAGGTCTATGAAGAGTGGGGGGGGGGTGTTGCCAGGGATGGGATTTAGTGATTATTCTTACTGCAGCTTTTTGTTGGGTTATTATTGGCTTTAGGTGTGTTGCTGCAGTTGATCCCCAAGCACAAATAGCATAGGTGAGGTATGGATAAATAGTGGAGAGGATCCCAACCGTTTTGGATACTTTTTTGGTTACATGCTGGATATGGGTGCTGAAATTCAGGTTGTTGTCAAGGTATAAGCCTAGGAATTTGCCCCCATTATTTCTGGTAATTAGCGTGTTGTCAATCTTAATGTTAATTTGTTCATCTCCTGCTCTGCTACCAAACATAATATAGTAGGTTTTGTCAGTGTTAAGCGTAAGTTTATTGGCTGTCATCCAAGTCGATATTTTGATCAGCTCCTCATTCACAATGGTGTTGAGGGTGGCAAGATTAGGGTGAGAGATGACATAAGTCGTGTCGTCAGCAAAGAGAATGGGTTTCAGGTGTTGGGATACGTTTGGAAGGTCATTGATGTATATGAGGAAGAGCTGGGGACCAAGGACACTTCCCTGCAGAACTCCAGTATCAATTGGCCGTGTTGCTGATGCTGTGTCTTTAATGGTGACATACTGATACCTATTAGTAATGTAAGATTTGAAATAAGCAAGCGCATGGCCTCTTATACCGTAATGATCAAGTTTGTGGAGTAGGATGTCGTGGTCTACTGTGTCAAAAGCTTTTCTTAGGTCAATAAAAATTCCTAGTGGATATTCCTTATTTTCCAATGCTGTGTACAGCAGGGGTGAATCCTTTGAAGGGAGTGGAGTTGGAGGGGGAGTCAGCCATGTTTGTTGAGGTTGTTCCCTGGGTTGCGGTGGTGAGGGGGGTTGATGATACACCGGCTTCCTGCTGGGTAGACAAGTTGAGTTCTAGGGTCCTTCTGTTATTCTTTTATTACTGATGTTGTTTCTTCTGCGATATCCTTTCATAGTATCACTGAAGTAGATACTGTGTAGCTATGGAGGAGAAGGCTTGTTTTCTCAGAGCTTAGGTTAAGTGGTTGTCTGGCAGCGGAGGCAGTGTTTGGGTTAGCAGGGCTGTCTTCCTTAGATCTTCTAATTTTGTCAAGATTTGGGTTTCATTTTGTGGTCTACGTGGGTTCATGTAGTTGTACTTTCACTTAGGCCATCACAAGTTTTGATGAGCGATGGTTTTTTGAGGAAGAAGAGCTGGTAGGATGCCGCTGCCACATTAGTATGCTCCTCACTTAGTGACGAATTCATTCACCGACGTGGTCTTAGGAATGGAATTCCATCGTTAAGTGAGGAGAGGTTGCGTATCACAGATAATATTCTAAACAAGATAGTGTTGTAATCAAGATGGTGTTGCAGACAACAGTGTTGTAAATTAGTTTTGTAAATATACTGTTCTGTAAGATCGCTGTAAACCAAATGCTTCTCAATTACTCAAACCCACACTATTTGCTGATGACACAACATACGTCTTCTCCCACCCGAGCCCAGTCACGCTAGCCAATACTGTAAATACCGAATTACAGAAAATATCTACCTACATGAGTACTAACAAACTTACACTAAACATTGACAAAACCTACTTCATTCAGTTTGGTAACAGAGCTACAGATGTCCCTCTTAACATAATGATAAACGGATCACCTATCACAAAGCTAACAGAGGGAAAATTCTTAGGAATCCACCTTGATAATAGACTCAAATTTCATACACATATACAACAAATTTCTAAGAAAATTTCCAAGACTGTAGGCATACTATCGAAGATACGGTACTATGCTCCACAGTCAGCCCTCCTGGCCCTATATCACTCTCTTATTTACCCCTATCTCACCTATGGAATTTGTGCATGGGGCTCAACAACAAGTAACCATCTCAGACCACTAATTACCCAACAAAAGGCTGCAGTTAGAATGATAACAAATTCTCACTACAGGCAGCACACTCCACCAATATTCAATACACTCAACCTACTCACCATACAAAACATCCATACTTATTACTGCACCTATTACATACATAGAACACTCAACTCTGATATTAACCCTCCCCTCAAACATCTCCTTGCCAACCTCAACAGAACACATGACCATAACACAAGGCACAGATCACTCTTTGATATTCCTCGTGTCCATCTCACGCTATGCAAAAACTCAATGCACATAAAAGGCCCTAAAATCTGGAATTCATTACCTGTAAATATAAAAGAAACACTACCTGTTTATAAATTCAAGTCTCTTCTCAAAGATCACTTACTGACCCAAAACCAAATAAATACTGAATAACTGAACCTTATAAATTGTATATCTTAAATGTTTCTCACAATTATATCACATAAATGTTAAACCTAAAACCCAATCTAACTTTATTATTTTTTAAATACACTACCTAACAGAATACTCCATTCTACTGAATTTATAACAATGCATGCAACCATATGACCTGTCTTTGTAATACTCACTTGTGCTTTATAGTAATCAGTTTACATTAATGTTTTTCACTGATTTCATCATTGCTTAGTTAATCTTAAGTTAATTTTAAGCCAGCCCGTAATGCTATGCATAGTATAAGTGGCTTTGGCATGCTGCTCTTATCTGTATTTTTTTTGTACCTCTGTAAGTGTGCTCAAATTATAAATAAATAAATAAATAAATAAATAAAACATGGGTTATAGTTTACAGTTACTACTGTGCAGAAATTGGGTCTTTACATTTAACAGTACATACAGCCTACTGTATGTACACCACTGAAGAAATAAGGATTTGTTGTGCAAGTTGTTAGTTTGGGAGTTATTAGCATAAATAGCTCATTAATTTTAGTTTTGTAGTATGTCTGGGCCAGTCAGTGCTTAGTAATTAGTCGTGTCACACACTGGCTGAATATATACAATAATGGAGGCAATGTTAAGTTATGTTAGGTTATTTTAGATTAGGTTTTAGTTTCAAAGCCAGTTTAATATTTTACAATTCAAACCAGTATAATTGAAGTCTGAAATCACCTGAGTGGCAGTGATAAACTGTCACAGATATCTTTATTGTAGAAACATTTCATCTGCACTACAGGCATTTTCATTTGAAAGTGTTAATGTATAATAATTGTCTGACACAGCAACATCATGAAATCTTGCTCTAGAGAATATCTTCATCAATTTTATTGCTAACCACTGACCTAACTTATTGGCATAACCTACTTCCAGTAGTGGGTTATACCAATTGGTGCACCTCTCCTCTAGTTCTTTTAATTAATATACATGTAATATATTTGTTTAATATCTATACAGTGGACCCCCGGTTCGCGAAGTCATCGGTATCCAATAAATCCGGTATCCGAAGCATTATATCGCAAAAAAATTGCCTCGGTTCCTGTTACAAAACCCGGTATGCGATACGATTCGTACGAGACGTGTCCACGTGTGGCCTGAACTGCCCCGTGTGTGCCAGTGTTTACAAGCCAGCCAGTGTGCGCGCATCTAAGGATACATTTGGTACATTCCATATTATCCATATTACCACTGGTTTTGGTGCTTGTTTCTGCAAAATAAGTCACCATGGGCCCCAAGAAAGCTTCTAGTGCCAACCCATCAAGACCAAGGGTGCTAATGACTATTGAAATGAAGAAAGAGATAATTGCAAAGTATGAAAGTGGAGTGCGTGTGTCGGACCTGGCCAAGTTGTATAGTAAATCCCAATCAACCATCTCTACTATAGTGAGCAGGAAAATGGCAATCAAGGAAGCTGTTCTTGCAAAAGGTGCAACTGTGATTACAAAACAGCGATTCCCCTTCTAAACATTAAAAACTTCGACATTCTCCCCTCCTCCCATCCCATCAATCATCACCAGATCTTCATTAAAGGTAAGTGTCAATTATTCTATTATGATTATTCTGTTGTTATTATTGTTATTGTAATTATTCTATTGCATTAAACTTAATATTTCATGTGGTAAAAGTTTTTTTTTTCATACTTTTGGGTGTCTTGCACAGATTAATTTGATTTCCATTATTTCTTATGGGGAAAATTGATTCGCTTTCCGGTAATTTTACTTTACGATGAGCTCTCAGGAACGGATTAATAACGTGAACCGGGGGTCCGCTGTATTTCTACAAGTACATGTACATGGTATACAGGCCTAGCTGACATCAATGATATACTGTACTACTATTTAGAAAGCCCCTTGTTATACAGAGCGTTTCGGGCAAATTAGGTCAGTTTTGTCCCAGGATGCGACCCACACCAGTTGACTAACATCCAGGTACCCATTGTACTGATGGGTGAACATAGACAACCGGTGTAAGGAAACACGTCCGATGTTTCCACCCCTTCGCTGGTAATTGAACCTCTGTATTCAAATGAAAAAAGCCTGCACAGGCAAAATACAGTCAAGATACAGTACACCATTGGTGTACATATATTCATCAAGATGAGTGCTGTTATTGCTAAGCGAACAGAAGCATCAGATATAAAAGAAATATGGCCAACGTCTCCATCTGCCCTGGATTTGAACCTGGGTCCTTTGGTATAGAGCAGCCATTTACATCCAGCTTACATTTAGTTGATGAGCAGCTCAATGTCTATTCTTTTATCAGAAAGAGGATTTATATACTTTGATAAACAACTATTACTAATACTATATTAATAAACATAGTAAAACAGCAGAAAATTCTTCAGAATAAATGATGAAGCCAAAGATCATAAATTTAGTGCAGACAGAGGTGTTACCAAGAGATACATATATTGCTATCAGATAAAGACCCTGAGATAAGATCACAGTAAGTGTTAGTTTGTGAGTTGTCTGGACTACAACAAGAACTGCACAAATCAGTGACTATTCAACCTGTCCTCACAGCACTTGTATATTGTAATTTTGTACTGTATATACATTTGATCTCAGTAGTTTGTGGGGGTTAGGTTCCAGGTGATGTGAATCCCGAAGTCGTGGATAATAGGAAATTTCACGTAGAAATTAATTAAATGTGTTTTGGCTTTGTGTCTTTACATAGTGCCTTAATCTGCTTAATAGAGTATTGACATTTGTAAGAAAGAATAAGTCCATTTGGAATGAAATATGGTGATTATTTTTCAATATTTTCCTCTCTTATCTGCCTGGAAAATTAAGTCTTCTAGCAATTCTGCAGTTGGTTCATCATCATTATCATCATCATCTGACAGTACATTTACATCTTCCTGCTCATCTTCAAAGCTCTCATCTCTCGCTCTCCTTATCAGATTCAGTTTTCTGGATCTGGCTCTTTAAAGACTAAGGAAAAAACTGAGAAATTATTCACCACAGTAGGCCATAATTTACCTCAGCTTACATTTATTGATGATTGGGGTACTTCATCCCATGACACTTTTTTCCTGCATAAGTGCATTTGCAGTGTTAAAAACATAGCAGAACTCTGGCACTCTAGTTTCTGAACTTTCATCTGTTACTGCAGTGAGTGTTTATATGAGTTTGTGTATGAAGTAGCACTTAAATACCTTAATTAATAAATCTTTGATCCAGTGGTTGTATTACAGATGTTATATTGTGAGATACAACAAAACTTGCACATTTGAATCCAGAAACTACAAGGTTTCAGGATGAATTCATGAATTATTAAGAGTCAGGAACACCTTGAATGCATGGGCCTTCCTGGCTGGATATATCTTAATTGAAGGAGTAAAATAATGCTTGAACCAATTAACAGGATTTCAGTCATCCATGCTGCCTTGTTAACCACTAAAGAACAGGCAGAGTGTTTTTTTCTCATTTTAAAGCAGAGATAAATTACCATAGGTTAGCACTTGAATTCAGCTACTATTACACTAGCAGATGGAAGCAAGCTAAACCATTTCTTTGCTACCTTGAACCCAGGTGTAAATTTTTCTTGCTTGTTAACCCTTTGACTGTTTCCGATGTATAAATACGTCTTACGAGCCAATGTTTCTGACGTATTTATACGCATAAATTCTAGCAGCTTCAAATCAAGCAGGAGAAAGCTGGTAGGCCCACATGTGAGAGAATGGGTCTCCATGGTCAGTGTGCACCATATAAAAAAAATCGGGGAGCCAGTGGTGCATTGTGGGAATGCCATTTCAGTTGTCCTTTTTCAGCATGTCTAGCGGTAAGAAATATGTGATTCCCCAGCAAATCTGGGACTCTTCTCTTCCCAAGTGATGCTCTAACACAGATGGAAGTGTCAGTGAAGATCAATTTCATGATTTGGAGGAGTTTGAGACCAAAAGCAATGGAGGAGGAGGAGGGGGAGGAAGAGGAGGAGGAGGAGGGAGGAGGAGGAGGGAAGGAAGAGGAGGAGGAGGAGGAGGAGGAGGAGGAGGAGAAGAGGAGGAGGAGGAGGAGGAGGAGGAAGAAGATGTAATAATATTGTTCCCTTGAAGCAAGAAAAAAAAAAGTCCACCCCATGACAGTGACAAGATAAGGGGAGATAACATCTGATAAGAGCTGACTTTGATGAGCGTAAAGGAGGGTAATATTACATGACCATCGCCCTCCCTTTGTTTTTGCTGGTACACAAACATTTCTGTCTGTCTATTTGTCTGTCTGTCAAGCTCCCTGTCTGTCCATCTAGCTCTCTGTCTCAGAGAGAGCCACAAGACTGTGTCATCACGTTTACTCACATCTTCAAGCAGAGTATAGCACTTTGTCTGGATTTCTTGGGTTATCCTAGGTAATTTACACTATGTATACTTGTATTTATGTGTACCTGTGAGACAGAGATAGGCAGACAGATAGAAAGAGAGACAGATTGAAAGATATAGAATGAGGGAGAAAGATAATTAGATAGAATGGAGGAGGGGAAGCAGCATCCGACCCCATTGTTTTGACAGGCAGTAGGGGTAGTGACTAATGAGACAATATGTCACTTTGACAGCTGCCGACTTCTGACTCAAAACAATTATAAGCCACACATTTGCACACAAGACAAGGAGGAGGAGAAGGAGGAGGAGGAGGAGGAGGAGGAGGAGGAGGAGGAGGAGGAGGAAGGAGAAGGAGAAGGAGAAGGAGAAGGAGGAGAGGAGGAGGAGGAGGAGAGGAGGACGAGGAGGAGAAGGAGGAGGAGGAGGAGGAGAAGGAGGAGGAGGAGAGGAGAGAGGAGAAGGAGGAGAAGGAGGAGGAGGAGGAGGAGGAGGAGAAGGAGAAGGAGAAGGAGGAGGAGGAGAAGGAGAAGGAGGATGAGAAGGAGGAGGAGGAGGATGATTGTTTGTTTGTTTTTGTAAACAAGTTTTGTAAACAATATATTGATAATTATGTTTGTGTGCTTATTGTGTTGTATACAACGAGTGTATATATATACATTGCACCTTACTTTGGTCTCATAGGCCACATAAGTTATGTGAAAAAATAAAATAGTGAAAAAAACAAAAAACCTTCAATTACAAGTAAACTAAAGTTTACCGGGTGAGCGGCAGTCGCCGCTGTTGCCATACACGGCTCATTTTCTGCAAACTTCACGGCTCTATATCTCGGTAAGTACCGATGGCAAAAATTTTTTTTTTGGACTAAAACACTCAGAAAAATAATCTTAACATTTTCATAAGAAAAAATAATTTTTTTTTTTTTTTGAATATTTGGCGACATAGAATGACAGTTTCAGAGAGGGGCCTGAAACAGTCAAAGGGTTAATATAAGTGCTTGGTGGCATTTGCTTCCAACATAACCCTTATCTCATCACCATTTACTACTTGCTTTCCTCTGTAACCCTTCTCAGAAATCATTTGTTGCTAACTCGGCAGGGAAGCTTCATGCCTCATCATGATCAGATGATTGTAATAATGTTGGTAGAATTACCGACAATATGTAAATTAAAAGGACACAAGTACAACTAATGTGACATTTTTTTTGTGGCAACGTTTCACTCTCCAGGAGCTTTGTCAAGCCATTACAAAAACTACATGCCGATATTTGGGAATGGACGTGTCAGCGGATGGGTCTATGAAAGATGAGGTGCATCGTAGAATTGATGAGGGGAAAAGGGTGAGCGGTGCACTTAGGAGTCTGTGGAGACAAAGAACTTTGTCCTTGGAAGCAAAGAGGGGACTGTATGAGAGAATAGTTTTACCAACACTCTTATATGGGTGTGAAGCATGGGTGATGAATGTTGCAGCGAGGAGGAGGCTGGAGGCAGTGGAGATGTCATGTCTGAGGGCTATGTGTGGCGTGAACACAATGCAGAGAATTCGTAGTTTGGAAGTTAGGAGGAGGTGCGGGATTGCCAAAACTGTTGTCCAGAGGGCTGAGGAAGGGTTGTTGAGGTGGTTCGGACATGTAGAGAGAATGGAATGAAACAGAATTACTTCAAGAGTGTATCAATCTGTAGTGGAAGGAAGGCGGGGTAGGGGGCGGCCTAGGAAAGGTTGGAGGGAGGGGGTAAAGGAGGTTTTGTGTGCGAGGGGCTTGGATTTCCAGCAAACGTGCGTGAGCGTGTTAGATAGGAGTGAATGGAGACAAATGGTTTTTAATACTTGATGTGCTGTTGGAGTGTGAGCAAAGTTACATATATGAAGGGATTCAGAGAAACTGGCAGGCCGGACTTGAGTCCTGGAGATGGGAAGTACAGTGCCTGCACTCTGAAGGAGGGGTGTTAATGTTGCAGTTTTAACTGTAGTGTAAAGCACCCCTCTGGCAAGACAGTGATGGAGTGAATGATGGTGAAAGTTTTTCTTTTTCGGGCCACCCTGCCTTGATGGGAATCGGCCAGTGTGTTAATAAAAAAAAAGTGCAGCTAATGTGACATTTTTATTGTGGCAACATTTCACTCTCCAGGAGCTTTGTCAAGCTGTTACAAAAAGTATATGTTGTTAAAGATTCACCGGTATTCTCCCGGCCTGGGCCCTTCCAAGTGGTGGCCCGGCACTGGCTCCCTGTCTAGAGAGTGTCTGAGACCTAAGTCCCCCATGGGAGGAGGCACAAGTACCCCCCTCATCTTGTGAGCTGCAAACTCAGGCTCTGGCACCAACCCTGCCCTAGAAGGGCAGGGCATGGTGTCGATCGTGCTAGCGCTGTGCTCTCTTGTGTGGAATGTCGTGTATTGGTGTTCATTTTCATTCATTCATTCATGTTGATTTGCCGGTACTTCCGGCCCGGGTCTTCTCCAGATGGTGACCCGGCAGTGGCCACCCGGGTGGGGGGTGTTGCGTACAGGGCCACTACTTAAGCCTGTTTAGCCCTTTCTTGCAACAAATAAACAGGATTGAATATCCTGTTCTAGATGAAATCATTCAAGGGATCAGTAGTAAACAATCACAATGTTTCTTTCCGGTTTTTTATTAAGTTTCTTAATAAACCATAGAAGGGTTTTATATTAACTTTAAAAAGGTCGCACCATAAAACAGAGTACTCATGAAATTTACACTTAAGTTCGCTTAAAAGATAATACACAGTATTATCTTGATTATAATACTGAACAGCTCTAGTATCATAACACCTTCTCTTCACATAATAACACTTTACTTAACTCAATCCAAATGAGACAGAAGACGTAACACTTCGATAATAATTCACTCTTATTCAACTTTCATAATATACTAAGTGAGATTAGGAATATTTTACACTTAAAGGAATTTTGAGACGAGTCTGTCTCCCATGACTTTTTCACCGTCCTCTTTGAACCAATACTGCTTAAATTCACTCCTAGCAGAGCTAGGGACAATCACCAGCATCTCCAAAACAGCATCACACACTTCGTCCGAGACGTTTCCGTCAGATACCGTCCGAGGTACTGGAGGGTCACTAGGGAACCTCATGTGGGACCAGAAGTTTAAATCCAGGAATCAGGGAGCTTCCCTCACGAGAGGTGAGGAAGGTATGAATTGAACTCTGTGAGGCTTTACCAGCCCACTTTGTCTCGTTCGGAG